ACTTTCCTGGGATATTGTTGCAGCACTGAAGATCAGTTACCATATTTTTCGGACTATAAGATGCACACACACCCAAAAAAAGTGCGTGGAAATGTCTGTACGGCTTTTAGAGCAAATGTTGCCGAAGCCCCATCCACCCACCTCTTCTCTCAGCAATTTGCCTCCTTGCAGCAAACAGCCTGGTCAACTTCAGCATAGCCTGATTTACCACGGGCAGCTGATTGGCGGTTGGATCGGCCTCCCAGAATACTGACAATAAGCTGTTTTAGGCTTCAGGGATCACTGCCTCCTCCACGCGCCCCTTTTTGGCCTCCGCATGACCCGTTTTTGGCCCATTCCAGGCAGCAGGGATCATTGACACCGAACGGGATGCATGGAGGCCGAAAATGGGATGCCACGGAGGCAGCGATCCCTGCAGCCTGGAACAGCTGATTGTCCGTATTTCGGGAGGCGGATCCAACCGCCAATTAGCTGCTTGTGCTAAATCAGGCTGTGCTGAAGCTGACCAGGCTGTTTGCTGTTTTCTGCAAGGGGGCAAATTGCTGGGAGGCAGATTTTTTTGTTTTCCTCCCCAAAAGCTAGGTGTGTCTTATAGTCCAGAGCGCCTTATAATCCAAAAAATACGGTATGTGATCTGGGAAGAATGCAACTGCTTTATAAACTGTCCAACAAGTACTGCTTTGAGTCACAGACAATTTTTTTAACCTTTCAAGTAGTTCAAGTACCTTATTTAGAGCAGATCTAATTCATGTGACCAGAATCAAGACTGTATATGAAAAAGTACCTGATGAGTGAGGTAGGTGCTAAGCTGCAGCATCCAATTGCGCCATTGCTGAACTGCTACACCAACCCTTTTCCCACTCTCTACAGCTATGGAGCCCAAAGGATAATTTGGGGGAAGCTGTATAATCAGTTCAATGAATATATCATCAACTGAGTAAGTAGCAATGACTTCTCGAGTGGCAGATCGAGCTTTTACCTGTAAAAACAAAAATGTTACCATTTATTTTAGCAACAATGTTTCAATCCTACTGTTTACTTTCAAGATCTAGCTTAATGACCCTAATTGGGACTGACATTTCCATCACTAAGCAAAGTAGTCATTGGGTGAAC